CTACTCTACTCTACTCTACTCTACTCTACTCTACTCTACTCTACTCTACTGTACTCTGTACTCTGTACTCTGTACTCTGTACTCTGTACTCTGTACTCTATACTCTATACTCTATACTCTATATACTCTATACTCTATACTCTATACTCTACTCTACTCTATTCTATTCTATTCTATTCTATTCTATTCTATTCTATTCTATTCTATTCTAGAGTTTCCCTCTGCATTGGGTGAATTGAGCCATTATCATGTGGTGGTTTAGCTGTTGAACTTGTGTTGGAGTTGGACTTACGTTGGAGCATTGCCAACTGTGGAGCACTGGCCAAGAAGGTGGATGTGCAGAGGTCCCACCTCCTTTGTAGATGCCAATGTACGCACAAAAACTTTGGCCTTGTAGAAGGAGACCACATCGACCACCTTGCCTATTGTAGAAAGCCTCCTCAGATGCTGGGAGGTTTGGAAGACGCAGATTGTGGTCTACTCTTAGCTAGGGAAGGGCTTCCTCGTGGAACGATTGGAAGTGGGAGCGTTGTGCATATATCCTTGAGATGCTGAAGGAAAGGTTGGATAGAAGATGGGACGGGATGAACGAACTGGATTGCTATCCTAAATGAAAAAAAAAACCAAACTCCAGCAACTTTCTCCATATCGAAAGGCAGCAAAAGACTAGGTGGCAAATCATGTTTAGCTGTGCAACGTAGGGAAAAAAAGCCAGAAACATTTGGACAGAGCCCCACGCGTTTCCTATAGTGGTGGGATTCAAACATTTTTACTCCCGGTTCTGTGGGTGTGGCTTGGTGGGCGTGGCAGGGGAAGGATACTGTAAGATCTCCATTCCCTCCCAATCAACTGGGACTCGGGAGGCAGAGAATGAATGAGGGCCAGGCCAGAACAGAGGTGGTATTTACCAGTTCTCTGCATGACTCAAAATTTCAGCTACCGGTTCTCCAGAAGTGGTCGGAACCTGCTGAATACCACCTCTGGTTTCCTACTCTACTCCTCAGTATAAGGCCTATAACCTTGTAATTTCTGTACAGCTACCAGGTCCTTTACCTCTGTGAAAAGGCACAGAGCGTTCTTCTGATATTTTAATCCATTTAATTTTAATCCCTCCCAATGCACTCGAGGCATCTTTGGCCCCACCACCAACAAATAAAGTCTCAAATTAAATTCCTGATTATTATTGTTACTTTTTTCCCCCAAAAGGGGTGCGAAAAACCCTCCCCCACAACCCTGGAGAAATTGCATCCAAGACCAAGGTAGCGCTTAGCTGGGGTTGTGATCGCCAAGCGACACAGAACTCTGCGACTCCGTCTCCCGCTCTTCATTAATTCCATCGGAGGACTGATCTGTTCCTCCGATAAACTGCAGGCAGGAGATACCAGGCGCTCCGAACGTCTCGCCGCCTTTAATCAGAATTCATGTTACAGGGATAACATTCACAGGAAAAAGACAATTAAGATAACTGCCTAGGCTGCTTGGTCGTACTCTGCTTTAATAGTTTCTTCTCCTGCTTCTGCGTCTGGGTATTTCTGTTTAATTTGATCCAGGTTCATATTCTCGATTAGTTACAATAGTGCTCCTTTGATCAAATGCCTCTGTTGTTTTTTCAGGTGATTTTTGCTAAGTTTTGCAGTTGAATTTGAATTTGAATTTTGAATTTTACTTTATTTGTATGCCGCCCTTTTCCCTGAGGGGACTCAGGGCGGCTCACAATTCAAGGGAGGGGGAAAAAACAAACAAAGTTACAGAACAAAAGACCATACACAGCTAAAAACACAACAATCATACCATTCGGAGTGGGGCTGCAAGTCTTTAGCCCCAAGCCCCAAGCCTGTCGGAACAGCCAGGTTTTAAGGGCTGTGCGGAAGGCCTGGAGGGTGGTGAGGGTACGAATCTCCACGGGAGATTCACTTTTGCTTGGCTGGCTTCCTGTAGTTGGCAGTAACCCCTAGCAAAAAAAAAAATGAAATTATGAAAATGCATGTAAAAAAGTAAAGGGTTCCCCTTGAACATATGTGCCAGTCATTCCCGACTCTAGGGGGCAGTGCTCATCTCCGTTTCAAAGCCGAAGAGCCAGCGCTGTCTGAAAATGTCTCTGTGGTCATGTGGCTGGCATGACTCAATGCCAAAGACGCACGGAACGCTGTTCCCTTCTCACCAAAGTGGGTTCCTGTTGTGTCTAGGTAGGATCCTTTGGAGCTGCTATCAGACTGAC